ACTGTACCTAAACAAGCTTAAGTTATTTAAGTTATTTTAAACAAGGTGATTTACAAGTTTTCCCAGTATTTCTTCATGCTAAGCTGGTACATTGTATCTTAAAAACCCTTGTCCTGCTGTGCGCAACATATGTCACGCGGCACATACAGTACCATCTATATAACACCCTGTATAGGTACGATTTGGGGGTATTTCTCGTGCAACGCATCACACCGCAGTGAAACGCAACGAATGCGGAAGTAACTATGCCACTGCAGGGCAAAAAAAATTGCGGGTCTATGATCTAATTAAGACATAAAATTATTGAAAAATATTGTGCCAGGAATGCCAGCAGGACAAGGGTTAAGATTAGTAGAATTTACCTATTTCTAGTCAATTTTATTGCTCTCTTCTCTTGGTAGTCCTTCATAGTTGAAGATGATCAAAAAAAAATTTAACAGCAAAATTACACACGCTGACAACTTAATAATTGGTTGTAAAATGGTTCATAACGTGAGTGACACAAGGTCAATGAACTCCTGTTTCCCTCTCCATTTCCACTTCCAGGTGTATAACTGATACTACATGTACATGTACATCCATCCAGCAGGCTTACAGGCATCCTTGGCCTACATCTGACATCCTCCCCTCCCCTCTTCCATGGACAGTTTGTACTGATAAGATAATGGGGAGGTGGTCTCGTTCAATCCATCATCATTATGTCACGGAGAACAAAGACTTACACAATCACAGGTCTTCTCTTTGAAACAGGACCTTCCTCTCCTATACTCCTAGATAACACACTCTTCTTTTACCTGTGTACAAGCTAGCACCATTCAGTCCTGTACATGTAACATTTAATGTTAGGTCTAAAAACTTTTGTATTCCAACTGGAATTTTCAACATTGTCAATATGATATATATGCATCTACTGATACATTATTGCAAAATTCATTTCTATAATTGTATTACATGTGTATATGCCATTCAAGAAAATACCTGTCACATCTTTTTTGCCTTTCATTTATCCCCTCAAATCTTTTTTTCAAACGATTTTCAAACACTCTAGAAAGCAGATGACCATGTGCAAACGAAGTATGTCTATCTAGCTTTTGTACGTGGCAAGTTAGTGTCTGAACGGTTATTTTCTGCTGCTGTCTGTCCATTTTTAGCACAACATCTTTTGAAAAGAGATCACTAGAAGTACTTGTATTGTCAGCTTATTGCATTGTATCTCAGGTGAAGCGTAGCATGAAATCACCACAGTTTTCTGACCACGGTGTGTGCAAGAGTAAGTACCAAGAATAAAACACATCCTGTTAAGTCTCCCATTGACATTCATGGTCTGAAATTAGGTCAATACCCCCAAAAGGCTTGGGACATAATCCACAATTACGTTCAGTCTCAATTGGATCATTTCTTTAGTTATTGGGCAATAACGAGTTACGATAAGCTTTGCCCTCGATTTCCAAAACTGCTGTATAACAAAGGAATGGAATACTGTCCAGGATATATAGTCCATACAATGAAACAGGATATTGGACTTTTGTAAAGCATGGAGCTATCAAAG